TTTGGTATCAGAGTTTTGTATATTTATACTTCTTATTTAACCACAATTAAATTCACTCTATCTAGGAGGCTCAGTTTATATGGATAGTATTTATTTTTTACAATAACAAGCTGGAATGAAAACAAGCAAAAATGAAATAAAAGTAACGACTTTCTACTTCTTGCCTTTTTAAAAAAAAATATAAGAAGTAGAAGTAAAAAGTAGGCTAAAAATAATTACTCAAGTAAAGTACAGATACCCAAAAATTCTTAGTACAGTAACAAAGTATTTGTACTTAGTTACTTGTACAGCTCTGAGCTGTGTGTGTTTCTGTGCCACACAGCTGCCAGACTCCCCCCTGGTGGCAGTCATGTCCCACTTGCTGACCTTTCTGGAGCAGTACTCCCACTTCCAGCAGCTGCAGCAGCAGGCCGACCAGTACCGGGTCCAGCTGAAGAGGCACCGCGTGCAGCACCGCCGGCAGATGAAGGCGCTGCGGGCCTCCTACCGACGGCGCCTCCGAGACAAGAACAGCATCATCAGCGACCTGGAGGAGGCCGTCAGCCAGCAGCAGAGCCCCGGCCCGCCGACGGAGGGTGAGTCAGGGAGGGGGGGGTCTTCATTCCCTCGCTGTGTGGGGGGCTGAAAAGGAAAGATTATTGTCTATTCTCAATGATAACCTGAGAAAATACAGAATGCAGATTAATTCATTTACAACTCCATCCAATCCAAACTGTGACAAAGTAACCCCCCCTTAAATCTAATATTTGGTTGTGCCATTCTTGGCGGCGTCAAATGCAGTCGAACGTTAGCGTTAAGTGAGTTTTTCAGACGGTGGTGGAGGAACTTTGCTGCAGAACTCCTCATCTAAAGCTACATCAGGGACTGAAGACCAATATTTCCATGGTTCTGTAAGAAATGTGTTTTTACTGGAAGGGTGAGACACATGAACCAGAACAAAGAACTAGAGAAATGCTAGTGYGAATGCTCCATGTTGAAAACTAAGCTACTGCAATTGATCTGAAAATATTTAACAGCAAAAGTGTTACTGTGAGTTCATTTTGAAAAGCTGAAACAAGCTAAAAAGCCTGACTTTGCAGAAAAACAGTAAAAAAGGGCAAAATCTAGTTGAAAACAACAGAAAACAGCTAAAAGCTAAGAGCTAAAATAACTGAATATAATTGAAAACATCTGTAAGAAGCGTAAGAAGCATAAACGAGCAGAAAAAAGCACAAGAAGTTGAAAAAAGCAAAAGAATAGCAAAAACAAGCAGATCTACAACTAAAATAACAAAATTAACATAAAATAAGCTAAAATAGTAGCCACACTGCCATCAGAAACTAAATGCCTACATTACCAAAAAGGAAGTTCGGCTGATGTGAAATGTAAATCTTTGGATCTGTGTTCGATTTACTCTGTAGTTTTTGGATGTGGGACACAAAAAAATGAATTTTTGAACTGAAATTGAACTAAAGAACTAAAAGTGAAAATAGCCAAACTGAATTTTTGATACAACAAAACCGCTCCAAAGCTAATTAATTCCGTTTCAAAGCTTTAAATTCAGTTTCAATTCAGTGAAATTAATTTTCAAACCGGTGCGTTTCATTTCAAATACTGCAGATACAGATTCTGGACCATTTAAATCCAGTTCCTGATGACACTAGTTTCCTCACTGGGCAGAATCATCTGATGTGTTTCTGTTTTATATTTAGTTTTTGCCCTGCCTGTTTTTAAAGCAGGGAACACGATGTTCCTCCAGTTTGCAGAAGAACACAGGTGTCAGCAGAGAACTGATGTAATTTACAAGGTGTTTGTGTGACATCACACAGGCCAGACGCACACCGAGCAGCAGCAGCAGCAGAGGTGGACCTCACAGGGTTAGATGTTAGTACCTGCTGTGCTTCAGATCTAATCAGAGGCTTGTGTTTTGTGTGTTCAGCTTGTTAACAGGTGCAGGTCTGGCTGCAGCCTCGGAAGAATCTGTGCATTTATAAAAACCAGAGGTCTATAAATAACTAAGTAGAAGTAAAATTGCATTAACAGAAAATGACTTTAGTAAAAATAMATGTCACTGATGAGAAAACTACTCAAGTAAAAGTCATAAAACTGTTCACAAAAATTGGGAAAGTAAAAATAAAAGTACTTTTACACACTCTAAGAAATAAACTGTTGAATTTACTGAATCAAACTGGTTCCACTAAACCAGGTTGAGTAAACTGAGCGATATAATATTATTTGCTCAATTTACTCAACTAGGCTTAATGGAACCAGTTGACATGACTTTGTTGAGTAAATTCAACTCTTCATTTTTTAGAGCAGAAACATCTTCTTTCATGATGAGTTCAAACATATTTAATTTTGTAACAAGAACTAGGTGTTGCATTTTAAAGTAAAGAAGTAAAAGTATCATTTTTAGCTTTAAAATTTAACAAAATAAAAGTAAAAGTAGCTACTTAAAAAATAGTTGGTAAAATTACAAATCCTCAAAAAAACTACTTAAAGTGCCTGTGACATCAAATTTTTGTAATAAACACGAATGCATTTTTTGAAAGATAACATTGATAACGTATTGCAAAACAAATTTCACGCCACTGAGATGAACGGTTGTTGAGATATTTGGATGTGAAGAAACAGGAAGTGATGTCAAAGGGGAATGTCAGCATGTAAACAGAGCGTTGTTACAAAAGCTAACACAGACTGTAGAGAAGAATCTGGTGTTTCTTRAGATTAGTTTTAGTCTCTATCAAAGAGAGACGAAAAAGAGTTAAAGTTTAAATAATTTTCTTTTAATAAACAAAGACCAGGGAGTTTATTTTATTAAAGAGTTCCCCTTTGATGTCACTTCCTGTTTCTTTTTGGCCTGAGCCAAATTCAAAAGAAAATAGGCCAGTTATGAGACAAAATGGGTAAAATAATCTGTATTATGCCAATTTTCTTAAGTATAAAGATGCTTTCTTTGACTTTTTGTATTTGAAGGAAAGGCATGTCACAGGTACTTTAAGTTCTGTAATGAAGTAAATGTACTTAGTTACTATAAACCTCTGATAAAAACTCAAACTAGGTTATATTTAAGCAGAGACTCATTAGTTGCTTTTTGAGTTTACATGAGTGGACAAGCATCTTTGTGACATGAATAAAACATGCCTGCTGGTGGTTTTATCTGCTCTGAACACAGTTACAAGGTCTGGCACATGCCGAGCAGCACGTGGAAACATGTTGGGCTAAAAATGGCTCAAGTTCCCATCGTTACAAGGCTGTTTTTTTTTTCTGAATTTTTTCTCGATGTAATGCAAAGTGCAGGTCTAAGTGATGCAGTGTGTTCTGAATGTGCAGGATGTCAACAACTGAGTGTTTTAATCTCATTTTGKGATTCTGTTCTTCATTTGTTGGGTTGAAACGGCTGCATTGTACTTTCTGGCATCACTTCAAGCTGCTGCTTTCAAATCCTGTTTCAGAGCCTTTTTTCCCTTCATGTTATTACTTTCTCCCCTGTCACCGCCCTGCCAGCACGGTGGTGCCACGAAGCAGACATGCTGTGTCGGGAACATTACCACAAAGCCCTGGAATGAAACACACCCCGGAGAGGCAGGAAGTTCTGTTTGTCACGCTGCTGCAGCTCAGCTCGGGTCCTTTAAAACTCGCTGCATCCAAAATGAATTGGTGAATTGCAGCAGTCCTGCTGAGGTCTTTAAGTTCGTCTCCTTTAAAATGAAGTAAAACAATGATGCAGCGCGTTGATGCAGCCTCACAGGAAGTGCATATTTAATGGTCATAAATATTAGACTGGCAAGCTCTCAGCTGCGCTGTGGGAAACGCTCTTGAATACAGATAGATTAGAAGTAGGTTAAAGAAAGTTAAAGGTTTATTGACTGCGGCTTCTTCCTAACTGGCCTGTTAGGAGCCTGGTTAAACAAATAATGGGGATTATTCAATTCAATTCAGTTTATTTATACAGCACCAAGTCACAACATAAGTTGTCTCAGGGCACTGTACAAAAAAAGAACAATCTAAAGAAGAAACCAGCAGATTGTGTTGAATCACTTCATCACAGTCTCCCATCCTGAGCAAACGGTGGAGAGGAAAAACTCCCTGCTAATCAGGAAGAAACCTCCAGCAGAACCAGGCTCAGGACAGGAGACCATCTGCCTCGACCGGCTGGTTGAGGGACAGGAAATAAGACACAGACAAACAGAAGAACTGGTCCAGGACTGGTCCAGGTGCACCTTCTTCTGGAAGAGACAAAGAAAAAAAACATGTTATTGATAGAAATAATTACAATAAACATGTAGAGAAGAGAGACTAAAGACRACAGCAGAGTGAGGAAATGTGCTCAGTTTGTGCTCCAGCAGTCTGAGTCTATAGCAGCAGAAATGAAGAATAATTCAGGAAACCTAAGTCTAACTATAGGATTTATCAAAAAGGGAAGTCTTCAGTCTAATCTTAAAAGTAGACAGAGTGTCAGCCTCACGGACAGAAACTGGAAGTTGGTTCCACAAGAGAGGAGCTTGATAACTGAAAGCTCTGCCTCCCATTCTACTGTTAGAAACTCCAGGAACCACAAGTAAACCTGCAGTCTGACAGTGAAGTGCTCTGTTAGGAAAGTATGGAACAATAAGATGTTTAATATATGATGGAGCTTGGTTGTTCAGAGCGTTGTATGTTAGGAGTAATATTTTAAATTCTGTTCTGAATTTGACAGGGAGCCAGTGGAGAGAAGCTAAAACTGGAGAAATATGATCTCTCCTTCCAACTCTCATTAAAACTCTAGCAGCAGCATTTTGGATTAACTGAAGACTTCTTAAAGAGTTTTTTTGGATGTCCAGATAATAAAGAATTACAGTAATCCAGTCTAGATGTGATAAATGCATGAATCAGTTTTTCTGCATCATTTTTGGACAAAATGTTTCTAATTTTAGTGATATTACACAGGTGGAAGAAGGTGGTCCTGGTAACATTTTTAATGTGGGGGTTAAAAGACATGTCCTGATCAAAAATAACACCAAGGTTCTTTACATTAGAACTGGAGGCCAGATTAATGCCATCCAGAGGAGGTGAAAGGCTACAAAGTTGATCCCTAAGGTGTTCAGGTCCAAAAACCATAACCTCTGTCTTATCTGAGTTTAGAAGCAGAAAATTAAGAGTCATCCATGTTTTTATGTCTGTAAGACATGGTTGTAGTTTAAGTAACTGGTTGGATTCATCAGGTTTCATGGATAAATATAACCGAGTATCATCAGCGTAACAATGGAAATTTATCCCATTCTGTTTAATGACTTTACCTAAGCATGGATTATGTGGCTAAAAGCACTCAAATTGTTGCCGAACGATAACGGCACCTGACTCCTGTCTTCCAGGTGAGTGCAGCAGCGACGCAGGGACACCAGCTGGGGTTCACCGGCTGGTGGAGTCTCTGTACGGCCTGCAGGGGGAGAGGAGTAAACTGAGGGGAGAGCTCCGTCTGCTGCACTCCCAACTGGAGCAGAAAGAAAAAGACAGACACGCCCGGATACAAGCTTTCCAACAGCAGGTGGGCAGATCGGTTTAATTCTAACATGGGTTTGTTTTAAAAGACTGAACGCTCCCTGCAGTCTATAAATCATATAAATATCTGATTCATCATTTAAATTGCTTTATTATCTCTCAAAGTATCCAGTTTGTGATCATACATTATTCTATGGACACTGCTGCCTTTACACCAGATTTAAAAACAACTTTATTTTTAAAGATGAACGAGTTTTTAGTCAACTTTCGATGAAACTTGATTATTGCGCAATTTGTTAGTCAGCTACTACCCCGAATTATTGGGACTGTGTGTTGGCAAGAGATTGGTGGTATGATACATATCAATACACAGTGGTCACAATATGATATATTCAGAGGTCTATAAAGTACTTGAAAAAAATAACTAAGTAAAAGTAAATTTACATGAACAGAAAATGACTTTAGTAAAAATAAATTTCACTGATGAGAAAACTAAAGTAAAAGTCATAAAACTTCACAAAAATTAGGAAAGTAAAAGTACTTTTGCACACTCTAAAAAATAAACTGTTGAATTTACTGAACTAAACTGGTTCCACTAAACCAGGTTGGGTAAATTGAGCAATATATTTATATTTGCTCATTTTACTCAACTTGGCTCAGTGGAGCCAGTTGACATGACTTTGTTGAGTAAATTCAACTCTTCATTTTTTTACTGCAGAAACATCTTTCATGATGAGTTTAAATATATTTAATTTTGTAACAAGTAACTAGGTGTTAAATTTTAACAGTGTTGTATAAAGTACGACAAAGTTATACTTGAGTAAAAGTACAAGTATCTTACCAAAAAAT